TTTGTGGGGCTGGGGATGTGGCTCAAGCAGTAGCGCGCTCACCTGGCATGCGTGGGGCGCTGGGTTCGATCCTCAGCACCACATAAAAATAAAATAAAGATGTTGTGTCCACTGAAAACTAAAAAATAAATATTAAAAAGATTCTCTCTCTCTTTAAGAAAAAACTGCTTTGCTTTGTTTGCTTTCATACATCTTGATATGTGTGTAAAGATAAATATAAATCTAAAAAATTCTTTTAAATTTTCCCTGGTGCCAAAAGGGAATATTTTCTTTCAATATTTCCTTCAGAAACTTGTGAATCCTAAATCCTTTCTGTCTCTTCCAAATGTATGTATTTTTTTTAAGTTAGGTAAGCCTCTTTCCAGTTTTACCTTCCAGAAGTATCTCTTAAAGCCACCTCTATGAAATGTGAACATAGAGGAAGATGGGATCCTGTCTCTCTACCTCTGTAGTTTAGTCCAAGCGCTTATCTCTGAGTTGTAACTTACTGGTACTCAAAAGAGAAACTTTTTTTTTTCATTTGGAGAAAGGCAATTAATTCATATGTAATAGTTTATATCTACCTACCTAAAAGGATGAGATTCTTTTCTATCCTTGCAATATTCTTAGTGGATTGCCTGTGGTATACATCACAACCTGGTTTAATATTTATTCAACAACAAAATGGTTTCAATCTTGTTAACATTTTTTGAGAGACTTTACTGGGTTGGCAGGAGATTTTATTTTTAATTTCCCTAATAATGAACTTTTGTTATTTTATCATCTGTTGTAGTTCGGTTATTCTAAATATTTCTGGGCAAATTAAATGTCAGTTTCAGTGGTTGTCAAGTTATATTCTTTTTTAAAAACTTTTTTACATTTATTTTTTAGTTGTAGATGGGCACAATACCTTTTATTTTTATGGGTGCTGAGGATTGAACCCAGTGCCTCACAGATGCTAGGCAAGCACTAAAGTGGTTAAAGCTCACTGAGCCACAACCCCAGCCCTCAAGTTATATTCTTTATTCTGTTATTAGTTATGGTCCAGATTTTTTAAAATTCTTAAAGACATCTTGATGACCTTTTTTGGTTAGATTTATCTTTAAGAACATTCTAGTTGTAGCTCAGTGGTAGAGCACTCACCTAGCACGTGTGAGGACCTGGGTTTGATCTGCAGCACCACATAAAAATAAATAAATAAATAAGGTATTGTGTCCAACCATAAGAAAAAAATTAAATATTTTTTAAAAAAACATTCTAGTGTAATTGTGACCAGTAGGTCACTGGTATATAGGAACCACCATTGATGTTTGTATATTGGTCTTATGATTAGCAACCTTGATGAACTCATTATTCCATTGCTTTGTCTATGATAGCTTAGATTTCCTATGTTGTCACATGATCTGTACATATTGGCAGTTGTGGTTTTTTTCTTTTCCAGTGCTTACTTACTTGATCTATTTTCTTGCAAATGTGTAATGAAAGGACCACTATTACAATGTTGAACAAAAGCAGCAATAACACCTGAGTTATTCCATGTTGTAAGGGAAGAAAAATATTTTTCCTTCCCCTCATATCTTGAATTCATTGGATGAGCCCCCTAAAGCAAAGAGAGAGAGAGAGAGAGAGAGAGAGATTAACAAAGAAAAGGCATTACAAATTTATTTAATGTAGGTTTTATATGACACAGGGACCTTAATAAGGAAATGAAATGAAGATCCAAGAAAGTGGTTAAAGCTCAGTGTTTTTATGCTAGGTTTGATGAAGAGTAGAGCATCTATAGAAATATGATAGGACAGGGGCTGGGGTTGTGACTCAGTGTAGCACACTTGCCTGGCATGTGTGAGGTGCTGGGTTCGATTCTCAGCACCACATATAAATAAATAAAATAAAGGTCTATCAGCAACAAAAATAAATTTTAAAAAAAGAAATATGTTAGGACAGAGGAAGTATAAGTGTAACAAACTGAAGGAAAGAACAAGGCTTATGTGTTCATATTTCTCTTGGTGGTCCTATACCTTCAAAAATAAGGGTATTCCTTTCTTCCAGATATAAAAAATGTCCCTCCCATACAGGTGTTATGACCTGCTTCAGGAGAAGGTTAGAAAATCCTTCCTGCACATGCTGTTTATTAAAATTCATCTTAAAATAATTCAGTATACCAAGTTTCCATATTTGGGAGTAGCATATCCTGAAAATGTATCAAGAGCCTGTTAGAAGCAGACACCAAGACGGTTGCAAGGATTTTACTAGGGGAAATGTGGAGGAATTGGGGAAGGTGTGAAGAGTTGGCACAAATGCATTGCTGTCGGGTGAAGCAGAGCAAGAGAGGAGGCTGGGTGGAAGGAAGCACTCTGGAAGATTCAACAAAGGCTTCAGAGTTCTCAAGCCAAAAGTGATGATCATTAGAAGAGTGGAATTTTCTAGGAATTGATCTGTCACAGTTAGTCATTGGTAGGGACAGCACATGGAATGGGTGGCCTGGGCTCTAAGGGCTACAGTTCCTGAGTTGGAGGTGCAGGGAGCATTCTCATGGTGGCCACACAATCTTTATCTTATTTCTGATTTTAAAGGCAATGTTTACAAGACGTCATTACTAAATATTTAAGAACTTCCATTCTCTTCCTTCTTTGATTTTTCTGAGTCCATTGACACAATTACATTAATAAATAATAATCCTAATGTTCACCATTCTTGAATTTCTGGTATTAGTTGAACTTGTTGTGTTTGATTGCCTTTTTATTGATATTTATAGATTTCATTTGCTAGTACTTTACTATTTTGGCTTTTTGCATCTAGCTTCAACAAGTGAGATCAGGAAATAGTTGTCCTTTCTTATATTGGCCTTGGTCAGTTGTGTTACCAAGGCTATAATAGCCCCATTGGAGTGGGATTTCATAGCTTGGGAAAATGTGAATAAGTGTTTCTTGTCTCTGACTTCCATAGATTCTAGACTTCAGCTGTCCAAAACTGAAGCATCTATCTACATGCAGCTATTCAAATTATTTGACATTTAATAAGATGTAGAAGTCAATTCCTCAGTCATACTAGTCAAATTTCAAGTGCTCAGTAATTACATGTGGCTTGTGGCTCCCATATTGGACAGCACAAGTCTAGAACATCCTCCATCATTGTACCAAGCTCTGCTCTGTAGTCTGGGTGGCCTTCAGAGGGTGATGGGATGGGGCTATGATTCCTTGTATTTCTTTTTTTTTATTGTTGGTTGTTCAAAACATTACATAGTTCTTGATATATCATATTTCACATTTTGATTCAAGTGGGTTATGAACTCCCATTTTACCCCTATACAGCTTGCAGAATCACATCAGTTACACTTCCATTGATTTACATGTTGATATACTCATGTCTGTTGTATTCTGCTGCCTTTCCTATCCTCTACTATCCCCCCTCCCCTCCCCTCCCCTCCCCTCTTCTCTCTCTACCCCCACTACTGTAATTCATTCCTCCCCTTGTATTATTTTTCCCTTTCCCCTCACTTCCTCTTGTATGTAATTTTGTATAACCCTGAGGGTCTCCTTCCATTTCCATGCAATTTCCCTTCTCTCTCCCTTTCCCTCCCACCTCTCCTCCTTGTTTAATGTTGGTCTTCTTCTCGTGCTCTTCTTCCCTAGTCTGTTCTTAGTTACTCTCCTTATATCAAAGAAGACATTTGGCATTTGTTTTTTATCGGGCAGGAATAAGGAGTTTGCTTTGGACAGTTGAAAGAATCCATAATTAACTGTGAACTGATGCTTTGAGATTGAAAAAGAAAATCTCTGTTCCATATCACCCTAAACTCATTCAGTGAGATGTGGTGAGTTATATTGTGTGCTTCAACTTGCTTTTAAGTGCATTTAAAATATGCCTTGGGTTGTGTACTATATGTCAGGCACTATTCATAACTAGGCTATAGTAATGATAAAAGCAGACATGGCTCTCTTTTACATGGCACTTGCCATTAAGCAGAGCAGAAACAGACAATAACAAAACTGTGTGTGTTCACATGCACACATGTATGTATATGAGAGAAAAGGACAGAAATACAAGGAAATTATAGTATAAGTGCTAGAGACCAAGTTAGGATAAAAACATAATTAAAGGATAGGAGTGCTATTCTGCATGAGTGATCAGGGACAAGGTGAAATTTTTTTGAAATATTTTTTAGTGGTAGATGGACATATTATCTTTCTTTATTTTTATGTGGTACTGAGGATCAAACCCAGTACCTCACACATGCGAAGCAAGCACTCTACCACTGAGCTCCAGCCCCAGCCCCGACAAGGTAAAATTTTAACAGAGACTTGAATAAAGTGAGGAAGCCAGATTTCTCTAAGAAAAAAAAATCAGAGAGAGGAGTAAATGCAAAGGCCCTGAGTCAGGGCCTCTTCTCCTTTGAGTTGGAGAAGAGGCATGGAAGTCAGTATTGGTTTCTGTTGCAGAGTAAATACTGGAGAGGGTGACAGGAGTTGAGCCCTGGAGTGCTAAGAGGCTAGATTCTAGAAGTTCAATAACAAAAGGTAAGTTTTATACAGAGTGAAAGGGAAGCCATTGGAGAGTTTTCAGCCAAAGGAAAGACATATCTAACAGACCATAGTGGGCATCAGGCTAGAAACAGGAAGACAAGTTAGAAGGCCACTATACTAACAGAGACCAGAAATATTGGTGGCTTGATAAAAGTGGAAGTATTGACTAGTCTTACTTCATTTTGGAAAGTTGATAAGGAATTAGGCCCTATGTCCTTAGTAAATGCTCATGGTAATCTTGCTGGTGAAGGCAAAGAAGGAAATTTAGGACCAATTCAAAGCCTCTGAAGTCTATCAAAGAATTGATCTAAAACCCTGAGTTTCTGGGCTCCATGTTCCCAGAATCTGAGGGTCTCTGGAGTCTCATATTTGCAAGGTTTGTGTCATGAATGGAAGATGGAAATGGTGTTTGAACCTGTGATGGATGTGCTTTTGTGCTGATCTGGAAGAATGTTGAGCTAAAGGTCTTCTGAGGATTTCTACTTTACTCTGCATCAGGTTCACAGAAATGAGCAATCCATCCCTACCCAAGCTCTTGGAACTCGCAGCCTACAGCCTGCTAAGCAATGAGGCCTCTGCTATATCTGCCTTGGAAGAGTTCACTGTCAACCTCTTCCCACCACTGCTCACTGCTGCATTTGCCAAGGGGCATGAGAAGGCTCTAAAGGCTCTGGTGCAGGCCTGGCCCTTCCCCTTTCTCCGACTGGGCTCTCTGATAGTACAGTGGCCCAAACAAGATAGCTTGCAAGCTGTGCTGGATGGGCTGGAGGACTTCCCTGCTCACAGGGCCTATCCCAGGTAAGGGGGATGCTGGGCCCAATGCTTGGGCACAGAGTTAGAAAGGAAGTGATGTGGGACCCAGAACAGAGGAGCATTAAATATGGCTGAGGGTGCAAATGGGCCATCTATGGGTTTCTGGATTAAGTGGTTGATGATATCATTCATTGAAGGGCATTAAGAAGTGGGATTTTCAGTCTTCTAAGGATTATGGTACAGGTTGTATGAAGAATGGAGACTGAGAAGGGATCCAAGGAAAAGCTCATATGAGAGGGGAGGATGGGTGGGCTCATGCTGGGATCTGGGAGTGGCCCAAGGTGCTGCTGCTTATCTTACCTGGGCCCAGCTGTGTTCCCCCAGATATCAGCCTCTCATCACACCACTCTCTTCCCTACAGGAGGTCAGAACTGAGGGTGCTGGATTTGACTCTGGACTTTGATCAGGTCCAGAATAAAAAGGTTTCTGAGGCCTTGGCCATGTTCCCATTTTGGTTACCATCAACAGTCAGGGCACCAATGCCCCAGGCCATGGTTAAGAGCAATCCAGAAGAGGACACAAGAAGAGGACCAAAAAAGCTGTGGGAACCTGTGGAATTACACATCGATCTTTTCCTGAGAGTCCCCTTCAAGTTTGATCCATTCCTTTCAGGCCTCCTGACAAAAGTGGAACAGAGCGGTGGGTCCCTGCGCCTCTGCTGTAGGAAGCTGCATATTGAGGAAATGCCCTTTAACAGCCTGGTAGGGATCTTGAAGACACTTGAGCTGGATTTCATGCAGGAGCTAGAGGTGTTTGACTGGTTCCGGGCACTGTCTGAACAGAGGCTGTTTGCAACACAGCTGGGGAGGATCTGCAACCTGCGCAGCCTCAAGCTGGCCTATTACCACTGGGCCTTCTCCCCAGTGAGTGAGCAGTCCTCCAGCTACTTTCTTTCACAGCTCAGCAAGCTGGGCCACCTCCAGAAGCTCCACCTCTCCTACTCCTACCTCTCAGGCAACCTACATCAAGTGCTCAGGTGAACAGGTGGGAAGGGGCCTCCAAGTCAAGCCAGGACAGGGATCAAGTCAGAAAATAGGGCCCAATCTCATGTGCTCATGAAATACTGGGCACAACCTGAGAACCTGGGTGTTCCTATGCAGCTGATGACTGGGATCTGCTTTGGAAGACAGAAATAGTGGGGAGAGGTGCATACTGCTAAAAAGAAATACAATAAATCTAGTTTAAAGACATAATTGATTCTTGAATTGAATAAAATAGAATACCAAGCAGAGGAGTTTGGTTGTATAGGCAAAAAAAGGACTGAAGAAAACAAAGGTCCTTTCAAAGTTCCTTTCCTTATAGGGTTAAGAGGAGGATTTCCTCATCATACAGGCTCAGGTAAATTGGATCCTTTCTGATTAGTTGCTGTGAATCTCTTATCATTTATAAAGCTGACTTATTCCAAACTTCAGCTTGGTTACATAGCACTAAGTGACTTTATTCTCGTTTGATCTGGTCTATTGGGGCCTACTACAGGAGCTCAGTCCAAATAATAACTACCTGTGAATTTTGTTTAACAATGTGTTTTTTTTAATTTAAGGCAAGTTACTTTATTAACCTAAATAGTTGTTACTACATTAATTATGTTATTTTGAATTTTCATTCAATATGTTTATCTACTCAGCAAACTTCTCTAGGCACTACTGAGTGCTTTACTGGGCCTTGAGGAAAGGACCAGAGACAACACAGGTCAGGGCTCTCCTCTTGGAGCATGTGCTGCCCAGGCAGATAGATGCAGGGCCCTGCAGGACAATTGTGCAAGGAAATTGTCTTATTCTATGAAAATTTTCTAAAAACTTCCCAGTGGGAAATTAAATAGGAGCCTGAGTAGCAGCTTCCCCAAACCCAAACCAGAGTACTAATGGGCCCATCCAATGAATTCTTAATCATCAAAGAAGCTCTTTCCAAACCACTCCTCTCAGCAGTCATGTTGGACACATGTAACACTTAGGTCACGATTTCACCAAAAAGAAAGAGTTGGAGAGTATGTTAGCTTTCCACTGTTGTGACAAAAATATCTGATAATCAACTTAAAGGAAAGATTTATTTTGGTTCACATTTTGGGATGTTTCAGTCTACAACTTGTTGTTCTATCACTTTGGGGCTTGTAGTGAGGCAGTACATTGTGGCAGAGAGTATGTGGGGTAGCAAACCTGCTCACCTCAGCTGTTGGGAAGCAAAGAGAGAGAGGGGAATGAGCCAGGGCCCCAATATCCCCCTTTAAGGTCATGCCCCCAATGACCTAATTTCCTTCCACTTGTTCCCCTATTCCAAAGGTTCTACCACTTCCATATAGGTCCACAGGCTGGTCCCAAGCCTTTAGCATATGGGCTTTAGAGGGGGAAGGCACTTAAGATCCAAACCATAATAAAGGGGTTGGTGGAGGGACCTCATAGTTATGTTCTGAGACACAGCCAGGCCTTAGGACATCAAAGGACATATGATTCTAAACCTCCTAGTAAATGTCTTCCCAGATGAGGAAGTAGCCTTAGGGCTAGCCTCCTCTGTGGGCAAGCAGACACCCAGGGAGGAAGCACTGGGCCCTCACCTGAGTTATTGCACCTTCTCTCCTCAGCTGTCTGCAGTCCCCACTGCATGCCCTGGAGATTTGTTCCTGCACACTTCTGAACACCGACATCATCTACTTATCCCAGAGCCTTCATGTCACCTGCCTGAAGAAGTTGGATCTGAGTGGCAACGACCTTTCCTACATGGTCCCTGGTTCCTTAGAGACCCTGCTAGAGAAGATCTCAGGGACACTCCAGCACCTGAACCTGAACCACTGCCAGCTAAAGGATGCCCACCTCAGTGCCATCCTGCCAGCCCTGCGCCACTGCTCCTGGCTCCATTACTTGGGCCTGTCTGACAATCCCATATCCCAAGCCAGCCTCCTGAGCCTGCTGGAACACACAGCAGGGCTGATGGAGTTGAAGCAGGTGCTCTACCCCATCCCAGTTGAGTGCTGCACATACCTGCATGGCCTCTCCTGGGGTCCTGTCAACAAAGACAAGATGTACCAGGTGCAGGCTGAGATACAGAATCTGTTGCAGGCTGTGCAGAGAGCCGACATGCAATGGAGGCCCCACTGCCCTAGCCCTTGCCCATGAGGCTGGTGCAGCTCAAGTGAGGGACTGGAGACTGTGATCAGAATAGGCAGCAAGAAAAACATCCAGGGCCAACGACTTCCTGACAGGCACATGTTTTTAGCAAGGAATATAAAGGAAACTTCCACAAGAACTGTCCAGTGCTTTCTTCTCTTCTACATCACTCCCTTCCTCGGTCCAAAGCCTAGACTCCTTCAAATGTTCATTCAGTCCACACATGTTATCAAGGTGGCTTTATGGTCAGCTGCCAGGGGTGGAAAGATATCAGAAGTTTGGCCTTCCTGAGCAGGAACTCACTTAACTTGGGTCACTCTTCTGACTACTCCCTCTGTTTTTCTTGTCTTTTGCTTCTAGATAAAATGAAACAGGCCCTTAGTTGACTTCTCCTTCTGGAGATCTGATAACCTCAAGGGGACATTGGGAGACTGGAAGGAAATTCACACAAGCACTCTTGCATTCACAGAACACACAACTAATTAGCTGGGCTTCCTGGAGCACATGTGTCACTGCTGTTCTCAGTCTGGGCATACAGAAGGCCCAGGACACAACTCACACTAAGATCAAGGCCATGACCCTTCAGGAAGTCGCTGCAACAGGTCAAAATCAGAGAGGAACCAGGAGTGACTATCCAAGCAGGTTACAGAAGTTACCTCTGGAAGGAGACATATGGGCCATGACCTTCCACTAATGAAGAGACATGGAGCAAGCCTCCCTGGGGAAAAAGCAGAAAAGCACAATTGCTGAGCTACAGACCTGAGCTTGATCAAAAGGACTGAGGGTGAGGGTCATGAAATGAGATTGGAGATCCATAGGTCCAGGTCCCTAGCATCACATGTATAGAATGTAGTCAAGACTGATAAAGATAGAAAAATGAGGAGGCCAGAGAACTACAAATGGCCAAGATACATGCAAAGGCTGCACTGGAAAACCTAGATCAAATGGACATGCAGGGCCAGAGAAAGCCAGAGGATGATGGCTCATGCAGGACAGATTCTTGCTACCCAGATCCAGATTCTCCATTCAGAAAGATGTTTGGTCACAAGTGCAGAAGATTTACAGAACATCCAGAGGACTACATGGCCGGTTCCCAGTAAGCTGGAAAGGAACGGATTATCAGTCTGCTCTGCTAGCCTGCTTGTTACCTTCTACATCCTGTCCTTGATTAAGGCCCATTTTAGGTGTTCTGACCCCATCCATGCAACCCCCACTTTCAAACAAAGATAGATAAGAAAGACACATTTTTACAAAGGTTCTCAATAAATGTTCTACCTGGAGGCGGAAGCACTCCTCCTTTCATGAGCTATCTTGTAGCAGGCTTAGCCCTTCCCTGGCTTCCTGACCCCAGGTTGTTAATAATGCCTTGTAACTTCCTCACAGGAATCCTACACAGGGTAAGAAAGACACTATGCTTGAGACATATTAGTGGCAGTTCTTGTGTACCCACCCTGTTTTTGTGTGCTAGCATTCATCTCCAAAGGCCTCCAAGTGGAGTATGGTTTTCACATCATTTATTTAATAAGTGCCTGCCAAATGCCTGCACAATGTCAAGGTGAGTCTGTTTTTATTTTTGTTTGTCTATTTGCACATGCTAGGCAAGTTATCGACCACTGAGCTACATCTCCAGCCCTGACGAGTACTTTTGCAAGGGTAGAGGATAAAGCTAAAAATAATACCAACTCCTTGCCCTGGGTGGCAAACAAATGGTATTATTTCAGGATGAGGAGAGGGTCAAGTCTTAGGGAGTAGGGCTTGCTGATGAGAAGAAAAAAAAAAGAAAAGGAAAAGGAAAGGCTTGTGATCATACATCTTTCTGAATGGAGAAGCTGAATCTGGGTGGCAAGAACCTGTCCTGCATGGGCATTTGGGCAGAGGCCTGAATGGGCAAACCTCCAGGCAAAGGAGCAACAGAAAAAAAAAAACACAGATGGGGGACATGACACTGTTGGAATTCCTTCCAGTGCTGAGAACTCAAGTGCTTCCCCAAACCTCAATTACACAGACAGTCCCCAATTTATGATGGTTTAATTTTTTAACTTCACAATAGTTTTAAAATGAAAGAAATATGCTTTCAGTAGAAATCATATTTTGAATTTTGAAGTTTGATTTTTTTTCCATAGCACAATATGCAAGATACCTCCCTGTAGAGACGGGGCAGCAGCAGTGAGTTGCAGCTCCCAGTTGGGCACACAATCACCAAGGATGAGAAAAAAAACTGATAATTTATAGTGTAAGGGAAAGAGCCTCTGATCCCTCACAACTTCACTGATGTAGACACTCAGGCTCATAATTGTAGCTGTTCTACATGTTATTAAGAGTATAAGAGATAAATTCTCTCCATCTGCTGAATGTTCCTTCTGGTGTCATGGCTTTCCAACAGTGTGTCAGGGCATTGGTGCTGCCCACATACAAAAAGAAGCCAGGGGTGGAACTGCAAATTGGTGCAACCACTCCAGAAAGCAGTATGGAGATTCCTCAGAAAACTTGGAATGGAACCACCATTTGACCCACTTATCCCACTCCTCAGTTTATGCCCAAAGGACTTAAAATCATCATACTACTGTGATGCAGCCACATCAATGTTTATAGCAGCTTAATTCGCAAGAGCTAGGCTATGGATTCAACTTAGGTGTCCTTAAACAGATGAATGGATAAATTAATGTGGTATATATACACCATGGCATATTCCTCAGCCATAAAGAAGAAGGCAATTACAAGATTTGCCAGTAAATGGATGGAACTGAAGACTATCAGGCCAATGAAATAAGCCAATCCCCCCCCCAAAAAAAAAAAGAACGTTCCTTCTGATATGTGGATGCTATCACACAATAAT